CATGTCTTTTCTGGCCTTTGACATAGAACCTCTCGAAGAGCTTGCTATAATTGTTTTTAGCCTCTCTCTGTCGCACTTCATGTCCAGTAGCGCTGGCCTCGGGCTGTCTCTGCCAGGTTGGATCTGAGATTGACCTGGAGTAGGGGCGGGCCCCGGGTGGGGGAGAGGGCGAGGGTGGGGTGAGGCGGCGCGGTCACGGGACAGCAGAGCTGAGCAAGTGCCCGGCTTGGGGCAGCCAGGGGGCCAAGCCCGAGGAAGGCCAGGCGAAGGCGGGGCGGCTGTCAGGGGTCGGGGCCGCCGCGAGGAGCTGAGGGGGCCGGGTTGGGAGGAGCGCCTCTAGGGCAGCACCTGAATCAGGTATGGCTGCATCAGTACCCGGGCTCCGTTGTTCTGGGCCGGGGGAGGGCGGGGGGGGCGATGCGGGTAAACCTGAGAGGGGTCAGAGTGGGGCGTTTGGGCGCCTAGGTGAGGCCCGGCTCTGTAAGGCTGCACAGTCAAGGTCGGACACCTGTAAGAACCGTATTGGATGTAAACCAGAGGAAGGGGTCAGGTTGAGGCTTGAAGATGAAAGACTTGGAGAAGGAGACCCAGAGCGGAGGTGCCTGGAGTTGAGGGAGGGGAGATGGCCTCCGGGGCTTTTGATGGCTCCCTTCGCTCATCATTGCCATCAGGTGTTTTGGCAAGCAGAGGAGAACTGTAACTGATCTTCCTTAAACCTTGCTGATGAGCCATTCAGCTCCCCAAACCCTACACAGTGTCCCCCGCCCCATGAAGCCTTCCCCCAGCACCACCAGCCAAAAACCTAGCGCTGGAGAAAGATTTCCTCAAATACTCTCTATGAACAAGTATGATGTTTTAAAAAAGATGTGTTCCAAGACAGGCTATATTTGGGAAGCATAGTATACTTTCTATTATCACACACCTACATCCTGAGGATTCTCTGTGTGCATTTGCCTATTAAAGGCTTGGGGAAATCTTGTAGCAAATGAGCCTATTTAACTGTGTTTGATCAAATGGTTTCCAAGCCTGCTTGAACCTGGAATCCTTTTCTTAATCCACACCATTTAAATCCGCAGCCCCATGCACCTGGCTTTGCAATACCATTCTAGCACACAATTCCCCAAGGGCAGGGCTGTGGCCCCCCCGAGCCTGGTGCAAGACCTGGCCCCGAGGACACGCCAGTACAGGTGAATGAAAGAAAGAGTGAATGAATGACCAACTCTGTTCTAAGCTGGCCCAGATCGTGGAGAGTTTGGAAGCAGCAGGTTTTTGGCTGAAACATTTTATGCAAATGGACTGGGCTCACCCAGGAGGTAGTGAGCTCTCAAGCAGGAGCTAAGTACCTATTTTCCCTTGTGTTCTTTTTTTAAAGCATTCATTTTTGAAAAAAAAAAAGTTTTATTTATTTGAAAGGCATAGCAATAGGGAGAGAAGGAGAGAGAGATGTTTTCCATTTATTGGTTCACTCACTAAATTGCTGCAGCATCTAGGGCTGTGCCAGGCTGAAGCCAGGATCTAGGCACTCTTTTTGGGTCTCCTACATGGGTAGCAGGGACCCAAGTACTTGGGCCATCTTCTGCTGCCTTCCCAGGTACAAGCAGCAGGGAGCTGGATCGGAAGCGAGGCACTGGCACTTGGATATGGGATGCCCATACCACAAGCAGCAGCTTAACCCACTGCACCACAACACCTGCCCTTCCTCTCTGTTCCCAGGGGTCCCAACCCTGACCCATGCAAGTCTCGGTAGGTGGCCTGTACCTAGCAGGTGCCATGAGGATGACCATCGACCCGGGAGAAATGGCCAGTGTTCAGCATCGCCACCTCCCTGTCTCTCTCCTCCCAAAAACATGACTTCAGGTCAGCTGCCTGAGGATGGAGGCCACATGGGAGGGTGAGCAGGAGTCAGGGGCTCTGGGAGCTTGCAGAGGTGAGCATTGGCCCTCCATCCCCGAGGTCCTTGTGCTGGGTGCTGGTGTCCCCATCTCCCCACCTGTGAAGTCACATCAAGAGGGAGGGGGCCAGAACCTTGGACAGAGCTGGACACCGACAGTGAGAGTCTGAGGGACCCTGGAAGCAGCAGGCCAGCTTCTTCACTATGCAGATGTGGACTGAGGTCGGGGAAGTCCCGGGACTCCCCCATAGCCCGACCTGGGCGGATCTGTGCCCTGCCTCCCTGCTCTTCACTCCCTGTCTGTCTCTCTAGCCCTACCTCAAACCAGGAAATCCGAATGATTGTGATTTGGGCTTTTGCCCTGCATTCTAGGACCTGGGGCATGCAGGAGAAACTGAACATATATTTCCTGCCAACATTACTGAGACACTTTCATTCTTGGATGGAAAGAAAAGCAGGGTAGCCACTTGCTTACCCATGAGCGCCCTATCCTGGGCACAGACACACTTGGGTTCCAGACCTGCCTTGGGCCCTGTCTGTGTAACTTGGCAAGGCATTTCAGGGAAGGCCTGATGCTCCCTCTAATAAAATGAGGTCAGATGTTTCCTTCCTGAGGCTGACCCAGGGTGAACCTGCCATGTGCGGTGCCTGGCACTTGGTAGGGACCAGGACAACACAGCTCCCATCCTTCCCCGCTCTGCCGGTGAGGGCTCCTGTGCTGGGTGGTCGCCCAGACCTGTCTCTCTTGCCTGGGAAGGAGACACCTTTGGTCCCCTCTGGGCTTGGCAGGGTGGTGGCAGAGAGACCTGCTTCCCCCTCCAGAGGAGACGCTCCTGAGTGAGGCTCAAGCCACCCTCCACCCTGCCCGCCTCTCCCCTCTTGTGGGAAAGCAGGGCTCGTTAGCTATTTCTGCTCTGGGAAGGAGGCTGAGCCCACCCCTCACACCCCCGCCTCCCCTAGCAGCTGGTGGCCACTGGAGCCTCAGAGCCAGCAGGGCCTGGGGGATCATCTGGACCCTTGTTCTTCAACGGATGGGGAGATGCATGGGGAGATGCGGCCCGCAGGGGAGGACAGGGACTTGCCCGAGGCCTGGAAGCCAGCAGGGCCCAGAGCTGTGCTCAGCTGCAGTCTCCGACAGCTTGCCTAGCAGTTAGCCTGGAGCTTTGACATTTCCTGGAAATGCTAGAGGCAGCAGAGAGCAAGAATAGCAGCTCTGGCCTTGAACTCGGGAAGTTCCAGTCCTGGCTCTGCCATTACTGGCCTTGCAGTCCTTGCGATCGCAGTCTCAGAGCCTCAATTCTTCCTTGAGAGCATGGAAGTAATGGGGTTGACGTTACTTAAGATGAGCTTAGAAGAGCTTAGTGCTCAGGGCAAGCCGTGTGGCACATTCACATCCTACGTCAGAGCACTGGCTCCAGTCCTGGCTTCCTACTAGTGCACCCTGGGTGGCAGCAGATGATGGCTCAAGTGCATGGGGTCCTGCCACCCACACGGGAGACTCAGGTGGAGTTCCTGCCTCCTGGCTTTGGCCTGGCCCAGCCCTGGCTGTGTGGTTGTGGCCATTTGGGGAGGGAACCAGTGGATAGAAGATCAAGCTCTCTCCTTTCTTACACATGCATGTGTGCTCTGCCTTCCAAGTGGACGAAAATAAAATAAATGAACCAGGAAAAAGCATAGTGCCACATTAGCCTCTGTGGCCCTGAGAGATGGGCAGCTCCAGTGCCTCCCGTCATCCGCAGCACGTGGCCATTTGGGACCGGCTAACTCTGTTGTGCAGGGCCCTCTTGTGCTCTGCAGGAAGTTTAGCCCCTGCCCACCGTTTGCCAGGAGGAATACCCTCCCCCAAGTTGTGACAGCCAAACTGATCTCTAAACATTGACACACATCTCCTGGGTGAACATCACTCCTGGTTGAGAGCCTTGACCTAGCGACAGCCCACTCAGCTTTCAAGATTCAGCCCAAACATCAGCTCATGCCAGGCAGAACTGCTTCGTGCTCCAGTACCAACACAGCGGTCCGGTCCCGGCAGGCTGCATGTCCTTGGCCGAGTCACTTCACTTCTCCAAACCTGTAACATGGGGATAACGCGACATTCCTGGGAAGTATGTTGTTAGGGTTAGGAATACTCCATCTGACTGGCCCAGTGGGCACACAGCGATTTTTATGTACCTATTTACCCTGATTATAAAATGAATGTAAGAAGTAAGGCTATAGAATATAAAAGTGAAATCAGCCCCCCCCCCATGGATAAACATGGCTAGTCTTACTCGATAGTTCAACAGAATCTTTATGCAATGTGT